GGCCCATTTATATTAAACTGCAAAGCCTGGGTGGGAAATGGGGCTGAGCCATTAGATCCTGCCAGCTTATTCCCTTGGCATCAGGGACTGTTGGGCTCTGTCTCTTTCACCCTGACCCCTGGGATGTCGGGGGACAAGTGTATTAGTCAGGTGCTTCTGTCCTAACTGCCATTCCTTCTGAGCTAGTGAGGCATGGAGACTAAATGGAATTGTTACCCTGAAGAACTCTTGTGTGATTTGTCAAATGGTTAAGTTATACAAAGGGTTTCACATAATCTCTAAGAAGTGCTCACATAAGAATCGCTTTCTAAAGGGGTGATAGGCTCAGCGTAGAGCTGAGGGCCCAGCACCTCTCAGGCAGCCGCATGGACTGAGAACATTCAGGGTGGTCCTGGTGGGTTTTAAATGCTCCTTTGTACACACGGGAGGGATGCTGAGGCTGTTCTGGGTCAGGAACTAGATCTGCCCGGGACTGGCTAGTAACTGTGTCTCTCTACGTATCAGCTTGTTCGTCTGTGAAACTATTTTTAAAAACTTTATGGTTCAAATAAGGATTTTATAATATGAAAGAGGCTTATGCTCTATGTCAGTAAACATCGCAATGCAGAAAGGATGTCTTTTATCCAGGTTTGATGTTAGCATAAAGCACAGATTGCTCTTTACAGGTAGCATATGTGCCCAGACTCACTGTCTAGAAGTGTAGAGTGTTGTGTTCTTGATTTTCAAAGAGATATAATTTAACATACTTTAGAAAAAGAAAATAGCTTAAGTAGGTTTTCAGGTGGATCATGCGCATTCAAGTACAATTATATATTTGCTAGTCTTCCAGAATTCAGATTATTTTTACATTGTACATGAAAAGAAGGCATGTTTATTGAATACATACTAGGTGCCAATTACTGGGCTTGTAGATTTCTACATCGTGGTTCATTCACAAGGGGTGGGGGCGGGGGTAGGGGGGGAGACATAAAACTTTAAGGCAAGAAACCAATACAGACTGTCTTAGATTCTACATTATGAAATTTGAGTTAAGAGACAATTAATAATCATTATTATTATTCATTATTTCATTTACCATTCTAGCAGGTCACATTCACTGAGCGCTAGGCAATGTGTGAAAATGACCGTGGTCCCTGGCCTCAGGGACTTCGCTTCATGGGGAAGACAGGTGGATCCAGCGCTGCCTGGCAGGCCTCTGACAGGAAACATCACGACTCTCCCCAGTCCTTCTGATTTCATTATTTATTTATTTACTTATTTAAACATGTTTTTTATGGATTTTAGAGAAGAGGAAGGGAGAAGGGACAGAGAGAAACATCAATGAGAGAGAGAAACATTGATTGGCTGCCTACTGGGGGATGGAGACTGCAAATCCAGGCATGTGCCCTGACAGGGAATCGAACTGGCAACCTCCTGGTGCCCCCCAGAGGATACCCAACCAACTGGACCAACTGGCCTGGGCTCCCCAATCCTTTTTAAAACACCAACTATGCAAGTTGCAAAGAATGATACTATAGAACAAAAATAATACAAAGGCACCTCAGAACTTGATAGTT